TCCTCCTTGATTCTGTATAACCGACTTGTGTATATATTGGCTATCAGCCATTTCATTAAATATAACAACATATTCAAATCCTCTTAGTTTTCTATATGGTATCAGTTTGAAGGTATCGATCCACTTTCCCAATGGCTGATTCTGATTCAGATTCTTCCGCTGTCAATATCAATGCTAATGACAAGCGTCCCAACCCATTCAATTTTTCTGCATCACAAACAGCAGCTGCAACACCTATAGTGTCCAACCAAAACTCGATTCCCAACCTGAGTCCTGAGCTTCTACAACAAATTGCCAACATGGTTGTTTCCTCCACTACACCGTCTGCTAACACTACATCCCTTTCTGGTAATCACACTCTGCCTTCTACCTGGTTGGTGGATAGTGGCGCTTCTCAACACATGACAGGGAACCTCCATTTAATCTCCAATGTTACATCTATTCCACCCACTACAATAGGTTTACCTGATGGTGATCAACTTGTTTCCAATCACAGTGGCAGTCTCAAGTTGACATCTCATATTTCTCTTCAGAATGTGTTATATGTTCCCAAATTACAATGCAACCTCGTATCAGTTGCTCAATTACTTGCTGATACAAATTGCATCATTTCTTTTACTCACAATGGCTGTGAATTACAGGACCCCATAACGAGGATCAAGACTGGACTGGGTAGATTGCAAGCTGGTGTTTATGTGCATGACTCATTTAACAACAAATCCATCTCTACTGCATGTGCGGCTCACACTCAACAGAATGCAGATGTTTGGCACCGTCGATTGGGTCACCCTTCATTTCAGTTTTTAAGCTTTCTTCTTTTTGTTACAGTGAATAAAAATAGGGGTCATTCTCCTTCAGTTTGTGACATTTGCCTACGCGCACAACAAACTCGTACTGTATTCCCTCTTAGCATTAATAAAACTACTGCATGCTTTGATCTTATTCACTGCGATATCTGGGGTCCATATCAAACTACCTCTCTAACCGGTGCAAGATATTTTTTAACAATTGTGGATGATTATAGCAGAAACGTCTGGGTTTATTTAATGACCACCAAGTCTGAAACGTTCCAATACTTAACTCGATTTCTTCTCATGGTACGTAATCAGTTTAATACCATGGTCAAAATAATACGCTCCGACAATGGATCAGAATTTTGTGCTCATAATCTCCGCAAGGTTTATTCCGATATGGGAATTATACATCAAACATCATGTGTAGACACACCACAGCAGAATGGTCGTGTTGAACGGAAACATAGACATATTTTGAATGTTGCAAGAGCATTACGCTTTCAAGCTAGTCTTCCTATCGAGTTTTGGGGTGAATGTGTTCTAACTGCGGTACATTTAATCAATAGAACCCTCACTCCTCTTCTCCAAGGAAAAACACCATATGAATGTCTTTTCAACCGCACACCCAGCTATGATCATATTCGCATATTCGGATGTCTTTGCCATGCTCATCCACGTCCCAAACCGTTGGACAAGTTTGCAGCTCGATCAACTCGGTGTCTGTTCCTGGGATATCCTTTTGGCAAAAAGGGTTGGAGGCTTTATAACCTTGAAACACATACTGTTTTTGTATCCAAAGACGTGGTATTTGAAGATAACACCTTTCCTTTTGCACCAACCACAGTCATTCCTACCACTGATATTCCTCACGACCCAAACCCCCATAACCCCATATCACCCGAACCAACCCTTGCTCCACAAAGCCCATCCTTTGATTCCCAAGTTGTTACCAACCCTGTCCCTTTAATTGAAGACACTCTCCCTGTTGAACAGGCTCAGCCCGAATCTGCCCCTACTGTCTCCAATGAGCTTTCTATCCGACAAGAACAACCCCCAGAAGTCACACATCCATCTGCACCTTTGGGACGTGGTCACCGTTCTCGCCGTCCTCCATCATATCTCCAAGATTTCGAATGCTCCAAAGTCATCGCACATAATCCACTAGCTTCTTCTACTTCTTCCAGTCCTTCCTCAGGTATGGCTTATCCTATTGCTAACTTTGTTTCTTGTTCTAGATTCTCTCCCAAACATCAACAATTCCTTGCTGCCATCTCTTCTGGTGTTGAACCAAAAACATTCAAGGATGCTGTAACTGATGAAAGGTGGCGTGTAGCAATGCGAAAAGAAATAGATGCCCTTGAACAAAATCACACGTGGGAACTCACTTCTTTGCCACCAGGAAAACGTGCCATTCCATGCAAGTGGGTATACCGCATTAAGTACAACTCAAATGGTACAGTGGAGAGATTCAAAGCACGGTTGGTCATTGCCGGTAACAATCAAATAGCTGGAGAAGAATACTTCGATACATATGCTCCTGTAGCCAAAATGGTGAGTGTCCGAACACTTCTTGCGGTAGCTGCTGCCAAATCATGGCACCTATACCAGTTGGATGTTACGAATGCCTTTCTACACGGAGACCTTACCGAAGAAGTTTACATGCGCGTTCCACAAGGTTTCAATCATCACAAACCACATCAAGTATGTCGCTTACGTAAATCTCTCTACGGTTTGCGGCAGTCCCCTCGCAATTGGTTTGCTAAGTTGCGGTCTTCCATTGAATCATATGGCTTCATCCAATCCAAGGCAGATTACACCCTATTCACCTTACACAAAGATGGCCACTTTGTTGCTCTTCTCATCTACGTTGATGACATTATTCTAACGGGCGACAATGATGCCTTATGCACCGATGTCAAGGTCTTTCTCCAGTCATGCTTTCACATCAAGGATTTGGGGATTCTTAAATATTTTCTTGGCATCGAAATAGCTCACGGTCCATCAGGTCTTTTTCTGAGCCAACGAAAGTACGCTCTCGACATATTGGAAGACGCTGGTCTCCTTGCGTGCAAACCATGTGCCTTCCCTCTCGAAACAAATCATAAGCTTGCAGTTACAGAAAGTCCTCCATTCTCGGATCCCGCACGTTACAGAAGACTCATAGGACGTTTGGTTTACTTGACAATTACTAGACCTGAGTTAAGTTACTCCGTCCATGTTCTTTCCCAGTTCATGCAAAATCCTACTATTGCTCAATATGATGCTGTCATCCGCGTTTTAAGGTACATCAAAACTGATCCTGGCCAAGGTTTACTCCTTCGATCCGACAATGATCTCCTTCTTCGTGGATATTCTGATTCGGATTGGGCTAGCTGTCCACTCACTCGTCGATCAGTTACTGGTTATTTTATCATGTTGGGTACTTCTCCTATCTCTTGGAAAACAAAGAAGCAACCCACAGTGTCTCTCTCCTCCGCTGAAGCTGAGTATCGTTCAATGGCAGCAGCTACAGCTGAGTTGTTATGGATCAAATCGTTTCTGGACTCGCTTGATGTTCCACATTCACACCCTATGCAGTTGCACTGTGATAACCAATCTGCCATGCAAATAGCTGCTAATTCAGTTTTCCACGAACGTACCAAACATATAGAGATTGATTGTCATTTTGTACGCGATCATGTTCTCAGCAATACAATCACTACTACCTACGTTCGTACAGATCAGCAACTCGCAGACATATTTACCAAACCGCTTGGCATGAAGCAATTCAGTTTTCTTCGCAGCAAGTTGGGCATTTCGTCACTTCATGCTCCAACTTGAGGGGCGTGTTAGGAGAAGATCACCTTTGATCTTATCCTTTAGCAACTAAGTCCTAGTTTTTAGCAAGAATAATTTGTTATTATTCCATGTATAGTTTGTTGAACAGTATACTTTATTCTAGTTGATCCTCCTTGATTCTGTATAACCGACTTGTGTATATATTGGCTATCAGCCATTTCATTAAATATAACAACATATTCAAATCCTCTTAGTTTTCTATAATAAGTCTTCTAACAAACTATTTAGGATTTGTTATATCTAAGAGTACTAGCAGTAGCAGCATGTGTCAATAAAAATTGTTTTGTGGATATTTAAATTTTTCTCTTTATTTGGGTTTTCTATATATATTTTAGAAAAAATGTTTTCCTTTTTAAATGATACAACTCATATCATTTCACTCTCACAAAGAGGTATAACTCACACTTTTATATTTTTTTCTACTCTTTTCTCATTTATCTATCTATTTCTCTCACTTAAAATAATATAACTTTATATCTTTTAGAATGATACATATTTTTCTCATATTTTTTTGGTGTCTTCTGTCTTTCTTTCTTTTTTGGGTCTTCTTCCTTTTCGCTTTTCTTCGTTTCTCATTTTCCAATCAATGAATAAGCGTCCGGTTCTGACGTGACTTTGGTCCATACAAAATATATCTCCCTATACTAAAGCAACGATATTTTCTTCAAAGCAATGTGAATTGAGAAGGGGAGAACTCAATAATGCAAACTTTGAAAAAGGTGTCTTCAGGAAAGCTCAACTGATAAATTTTTGGATACCCAACTTTTCATGAAGAATTGACTTCTCCTGCAATCAATTAATATTATGTATTATAAGTAGTATATAGTTAAAAAAAATTAAAATTGATTATAATATTAAAATTATAATCATATACTAACCATAATATATAGAGTTATTTTGTTGCAGGAGATTAATAGCTATATTTCCCTAAATTTTTATTGGCTTTGTGCAAGACTCTCAAAAGTGTACTCGAGTATCACGTGGTGCTTGGTTATTTAGTTTAGAGTAAATATTATTCTTGGTCCCTAACAAAAAATATGGTTCTCACTTTAATCTCTTATAAAAATAAATTAGTCAGTTAGTTCCTAACAAATTCAAAGTGGACCCATTTAGTTGAAATCGTGGTCCTTCGCAAATTCAAAAAAGACCCATATTAGTCCCTTAAAAGGACTAAAATGAGTCCACCTTGAATTTGTCAAGGACTAATTAATTAATTTATTTTTGTAAAGGACTAAAGTAAGACCGTATTTTTTGTCAGGGATCAAAAACGTCTTTAATCTTTAGTTTATAAGGATCTCCCAACACCAACTTCTATCATCAACACAATATGCTATCCACTTACAAGAATCTGCACCCTTAGATTATACTCTTAATTCTTAATCCAATATTCCTGTTATACTTGAACCATGGTACCCATTTTTGAAAATGGAACGTTCAACAAGATTCTATCCTGCTGGAAGATTCCCTTCATATTCCTTTGGGTGGTCATTCTAACACTCTCTTCGCCTCAAGTTGCTGGTTATTCCAGAATCCCTTCTTTGGTCCCTGCTCCCACCACTGCTACGTTTCATGATCAAGCTGCAGCTGAAGACAGTGAAGCAAATGCTCTGTTAAAGTGGAAACACAGCCTTGAAAACCAAAGCCAATCTCTCTTGCCAACTTGGACAGGTACTACTACTCCATGCAAATGGGAAGGAATTCAGTGTGACAAATCCAAGTCAGTTTCCAGCATAAATCTTGCAAATTATGGTTTAAAAGGTACACTCCAAACTCTCAAATTTTCCTCATTGCCCAACCTCCTCAGCCTAAATATCTACAGTAACTTCTTTTATGGAACCATTCCCCCACAAATTGGTAACATGTCCAAAGTAAATGTTTTGAACTTTTCTGCAAATTCTTTTGATGGTTCCATCCCGAAAGAAATATGTACATTGAGGAGTTTGCGTAGGCTTGATCTTTCCATATGCCAACTAAGTGGACCAATTCCTAATTCCATAGCAAACTTGTCCAACCTATTATATCTAGATTTAGGAAGGAACAATATTTCTGGCTCCATTCCTCCGGAGATTGGAAAATTGAACAGCTTGAAGTTTCTAGGTATTGGAGTTAATGCCATTTTGGGTTCCATTCCCCAAGAAATTGGATTGTTGACAAAGCTTCGGTATATTGATATGTCACTTAACTCTCTCTCTGGTGCCATCCCCAAAACAATTGGTAACCTCAGCAGTTTAAATGAACTTTACCTTGCTAATAACACTATACTGTCTGGGCCAATCCCACCCTCTTTATGGAACATGTCTAACTTGACCATTCTCCATCTTTATGGCAATAATCTTTTTGGATCAATTCCTAATTCCATAGAAAACTTGGCCAATTTGGATGAACTTGTACTTAAAGCCAACCACTTTTCTGGATCCATCCCTTACACTGTTGGAAACTTGACAAAGCTCACCTCATTATACTTAGGCTCTAATGATCTTTCTGGATCAATTCCTCCATCGATAGGGAATCTGATCAATTTGAATGCCCTCAGTCTCCAAGAAAACAATCTCTCTGGATCTATTCCTGCAACAATTGGAAATTTGGTAAGGCTCACCATCCTGGCATTGTCCTCCAACAAACTTAGTGGTAGCATTCCAGAGGTCATGAATAACATTACCAACTTGAATAGGATGTTATTAGACAATAATGATTTCACTGGCCGCTTGCCACCTCAAGTCTGCTCTAGTGGGTCATTAGTGTTCTTCAATGCTCAACACAACCGTCTAACGGGTCCAGTACCTAGAAGCTTGAAGAACTGCTCTAGCATTCAAAGACTCAGGCTTGAGGGAAACCAACTAGAAGGAGATATAGAGCAAGATTTTCGTGAATATCCAAATTTGAAATATATTGATCTGAGTGACAATAAATTTTATGGCCACATTTCGCCAAACTGGGGGAAGTGCCCTAATCTTATTACCTTCAAGATATCCAACAACAGTATTTCTGGTGGTATACCTATAGAACTTGTTGAGGCAACCAACCTTGGCAGCCTTTACCTTTCTTCCAATCACTTGGTTGGAGAGATTCCAAAGGAGCTTGGGAAATTGAAGAACTTAGTGGAACTCTACATCAGCAACAATCATTTTTCAGGAAACATTCCCACAAAAATAGGATTACTGCAGAATCTTCTAGAGTTGGATCTAGCAGGAAACCAGTTGAATGGCACAATACCAAAGGAAGTCGTGAGTTTGCCCAAATTAGTGAAATTGAATTTGAGCAACAACAAAATAACAGGAAGCATTCCCTTTGAGTTTGGCAAATCACAATCTCTTGATACTCTTGATCTTAGCAGGAATTTGCTGAGTGGAATAATACCAACAGTGCTTGGAGGTATGATTCATTTGCAATGGTTGGATCTCTCACACAATAAGCTTTCTGGCACCATTCCATCCAGTTTTGATGACATGCCAGGCTTGATTTCGGTCAACATATCATACAATCAGTTAGAAGGGCCTCTTCCAAAAAATCAAGCCTTTCTTAATGCTCCAATTGAGTCATTGAAAAATAACAAAGGCTTGTGTGGTAACGTCTCTGGCTTGGTTCTTTGTCCAACCTACCACAGTCGAAAGAGCCACAAGGTGATCCTACAGGTACTATTCATCATCTTGGGTGCTCTAATACTAGTACTTTGTGGGGTTGGAGTTTCAATATGTATTCTTTGTCGAAGAGCAAGAAACAAAGAAATCCAGACTAAAGAAGCACAATCAGAAGAACTCTTTTCCATATGGAGTCATGATGGAAAAATGGTGTTTGAAAATATCATTGAAGCTACCAATAATTTTGATGACAAATATCTCATTGGAAAAGGAGGACAAGGTTATGTTTACAAGGCTGAGTTGCCTTCGGGTCTGGTTTTTGCGGTGAAGAAAATTCATTCAGAAACAAATGGAGAGAAGCCCAATTTTAAAGCTTTTGAAAATGAAATTCAAGCTTTGACAGAGATCAGGCACCGTAACATCATAAAGCTGTATGGTTTTTGCTCACATTCAAGGTTCTCATTCTTGGTTTATAAGTTCTTAGAAGGTGGTAGCTTGGATCAGATACTAAACAATGACACACGAGCAAATGCATTTGATTGGGAAAAGAGGATGAATGTTGTTAAAGGTGTGGCCAATGCTTTATCTTACATGCATCATGACTGTTCACCTCCAATAATTCATTGTGACATATCAAGCAAGAATGTTCTTTTGGATTTAGAATATGAAGCTCATGTCTCTGATTTTGGGACAGCCAAGTTTCTTAAGCCTGATTCACAAAGTTGGACCACATGTGCTTACACATTTGGTTATGCTGCACCAGGTTAGTGCATTTTTCCTTGCATTTACACCACTTTTTATATTGAAGTTCAGTTTAAGGATTGGTTGACCCGCAGAGGAATAGGTCTAATCCCTAAGCAAGAATTAAAGTATGCAAAAGTGATATGCCAATATCAAAATCCATTTTGAAAATACACTTACTAAAAATGTTTTTTCAACTTAAACCTATATACATTGCTTTGTGTAACTTTAAAATTTTGACTGCTTGTAGAGCTTGCCCAGACAATGAAAGTGAACGAGAAATGTGATGTTTTCAGTTTTGGAGTACTTTCTCTAGAAATCCTAATGGGAAAGCATCCAGGAGATCTCATTTCTTCATTGTCATCATCATCAACAGCATCAATGACTTATGATTTGCTATTGATTGATGTGTTGGACGAACGGCCTCATCAACCTGTGAAGCCAATTGTTGGGGATGTCATCTTGATTGCAAGGTTGGCATTTTCTTGCTTGAATGAAAATCCATCTTCTCGCCCAACCATGGATCAAGTCTCTAAAGAGCTTGCGATGAGAAAATCACCTTTGAAGGACCAGTTCCCCTTGATCAAACTTGGACAACTCCAATAAAACATTGAACTACTTTAAGCATTTTGTTTTTCTTGTTTTCTACTATGTGTGACGCCACCATCTTTTATCTTATGTTGTAAGCTTGTTTGTTTTGTCTTTGTGTACTCATGTATTACTTACTAGTTATCTTTTGTGGGAAGTCCTCAGTGGGGTGTGAGTAAGCTGTAAATATACTTTTGCTAAAGCTACAAGCTTTGAATAAAAGTAAAGTAATGATTAACTTTTCCATTAGTCCCAAAAAGAAAAAAAAAACAGATTAATGAATTAACAGAGAAAAAAGTAAACTACTTTTAAGTACCTAAAGTCCTTTCTCACAAGTTTCAAAATAACTTATGGTTAGCTTTTCCATCCTATAAAGTTGATTCTGTACGTAGACGGGATTAAAGCAGTGTCATGTAAAATGATTGAACATTATTTCTGGATGTCGCGCGTGAATTGTGTCATGTGGGGCAGGTGCTGGGATTAAAATGAAGGGTTTTATTAGTTTTATGTTACATGATTTAAGTGTTGTTTCCAATACACACAAAAAAAATGGAAAGAGAAAGTGGAATGATGAAAGAGAAAGAAAAACATGTGGACCCCACCTCTTTAATGTGTGTGTAGGAAAGTGATGTTATATCATGTTACATGATAAACATAAAACCCTAAAATAAAAGGTGGCTACTTTTTGGATAAGTTCAAAGAAGATGATGCAAAGGATTTTAAAAGTGAAAGGAAGCGTAGCCCCATTAATTTCCCTTTTTCCTTTGATATATATAAAAGTAGCCATACCCAACATAAGTCTAACACACAGATATATAACATGTTAACGTATTTGTAACCAAAAAAAAAAAAACATGTTAACGTAAACACATATTGAGAATTAAGGTTAAAAATGTAGACTTGACATTAGGGAAGGATACTTTTTTTTTTTTTAATAGACGGGATCATTTTTATATTTAGAGTTGCCTGCTCATTTTCTAATATGCAAAATAAATAATTTTTATGTCTAATGAGATAATTTGATATATCAATGGCCCAAGCCATTGCGTCGAATGTGGTATTTTTGTTGAGTATATTTGTGTTTATATCAAATCTTAATTCGGCATAAACACGACTTGTTGATATGAATTACTATGCCTAATTTTTTTCTATTAATTTTACAATATTTAATTATTTATTAATAAAATAAAAATGGTAGATATCTGTTAAGAATGAGGAGCCCAAAACAAGGAGAAGAGTCGGTGCCCCTTCGTGGGCCAAGGATTATGTGGTGTAATCGGCCCACTCAGCCCAATTAGTATTACTGTTTTAATGTCATGTGTTTCTGTCATGTGTTTCCTTATATACCAATTAGTGGACTGTTGTTGTTATTAGTTGGGCCTTAGTATTAGCTGAGTAGTGTGATAAATGTTTGTTAGTAGAGGACTTAAGTGTGAGTCATGGAGCACGTGTTATCCTCTTGCTTTCTGTTAGAGTCTGTTAGGGAACGTGGCATATAGCCTGATAGGGTGTAACTGTTGAGAATGATGAATATACAAAATTGTTCTTTTTCTCTTCGTTTCTCTGAATCTTCCATTTCATAGTCTTGTTCCTTCGCTGAGATACCAGAATAGGATCCGCTATCCTATCATTGGTGCTTTCATCTCTTTGGAGCTCAACGAGATTTCATCATGCGTGTTCAGGAATTAGCCGATGAGTTTGGTGCGTTTCAGCTTCGAATCGATCGTAGCTTGGAGGATCTACAAGCTAGGGTTGAGCTGCGATTCGCTGAGCATCAGAACCAATTCATCAGTTTGACTGCGCAATTACAAGAAATTCGTGATGCGGTGGTTGGGGCAAATGCTCGAACACATGGTGTGCATTCTGTGGCTGGTACTGATTTTGGAGGAACTTCTCAGCAGTGTTTTGGTGCTGATGATCCTCGTTCTCTTATGAAATCCGTTCGGATGGAGTTACCTATTTTCAATAGATCTGATCCAAATAGTTGGATTTTTCATACTGAATTATATTTCGAATTGCAGCAAGTTCCTGCTGCGCTTCAGGTCCGATTGGCTGGTATGTGCATGGAAGGTTTGGCTGGGCCTTGGTTCCAGTGGCTCTTTAATGGAGGCTCGATCCATTCGTGGGAGCAGTTGAAGTTAGCAGTTCGCCAGCGTTTTGGAGGCACGACCTACACTAATTTGAGGGGTGTGCTATCAAAGCTCACACAGGAAAGGAACTTGGATGACTACATAAAAAAATTTGAGGCTCTCATTAATCAGGTTTCTGAGTTTTCGGATGAGGTACTGATGAGATTTTTTGTATCAGGCTTATTACTGGATTTACGAAGGGCAATTCAGCTACATTCCCCTACTTCTCTCCATCAAGCCATGCAGTTGGCCATTACCTATGATGCCCATTTTGTCGAGTTGCGTTCTTCTTTTTCATCTCCAGGAAACAAGAAGCTCTTTACTAAGAATTCTTACACGGTGGAGCAGCCAAAATCGTTGAATTCCATTCTGCCCAACCAGAAGCCTATCATTCCAGCCCTGCCTTCGAATGTTCCATTCAAGAGGTTGAGTAATGAGGAGCTGATGAAGAAGAGGGAGTTGGGGATTTGTTATACGTGTGACGAAAAGTTGAATTCTCGACATAGGTGTAAATCCAAGTTGTTCCTCATGATAGGTGATTGGGAGGATGTAGGTGATGAGTCTGAGGAGCAAATTATGTGGCAGCCAGAGGTGACTCATAAAGCTGCCTTACATTCCTTGAAGGGGGATACTAATCCCAGGGCTCTTCAATTTCGTGTTGAGTTCAAGGGGAAGTTCATTCCTGTTTTGCTGGATTCCGGGAGTTCTCACAATTTCATCCAAAAGCAACTGGTTGATGCGGTTGGGTTGCAAACAGTGAAGGTTCCTCGCATGCGTGTGTTTTTGGGGAATGAAGAGTTTCTCATCTGTGAGAGGAAATGCTTGGGTGTACCTTTGAGTATCCAAGGTTATGCTTTTGTAGTTGACTTGTGGATTATTGAATTATCTGGTTTTGGTATTATTTTGGGCATTTCTTGGTTGAGCCAGCTTGGTAGGGTTATCCATGACTATGCTAAGTTGTCCATGGAGTTCATGACCAAGGAAGGCAGGGTGCTGCTACAAGGTGAGACTCATTGCAAGGTTGGGAATTCGGCTGAGCAACAGTGTTTGAGCTTAGAAGGAGAGGAGGAGCAGGGTGTGTCTACTATTCTGCCATAATTATTAGCATTGAAACAGAAAATTCCACTTGCTATTTGGAACATTTTGGTCCAATTCCAATCGGTTTTCCAATTACCAAGGGGGCTGCCTCCTCCCAGGAGCTGTGATCATGTGATTCATTTAGTTGATGGAGCTAGGCCAGTTAATGTCAAGCCATACAGATATAGCTATCATCAAAAAGAGGAAATAGAAAATCAAGTCTCGGACCTATTGGCTTCTGGATTAATCAAGGAGAGCAGGAGCCCATTTTCTTCACCTATCTTGCTTGTCAAAAAACAAGATAATACGTGGAGAATGTGTATTTACTATAGGGCCTTGAATAGCATCACCATCCGAGATCGTTTTCCTATACCAACCATTGATGAGCTATTAGATGAGCTAAAGGGAGCCAGATTTTTTACCAAGTTAGATTTGAGGAGTGGCTACCATCAGATATTATTAGTTCCAGCCGATACTTCTAAGACTGCATTTCGGACTCATGAGGAGCATTATGAGTTCTTGGTGATGCCCTTTGGGTTAACCAATGCCCCCTCAACCTTCCAAGCAGCCATGAACCACATGTTTCGGCCATATCTTAGGAAGTTTATTATAGTATTTTTTGATGATATCCTCATTTATAGTCATTCTATAGAGGAACATTATAATCATCTTGTACTTACTTTGACTTGTTTACAGGAAAATTTGTTTATGGTGAAGCTTAGTAAGTGTGGGTTTGCATTGGCTGAAGTGGACTATTTAGGCCATTTGGTGTCTGGAGATGGGGTGAAAGTTGATCCAAGGAAGATTGCTGCCATGCAGCAATGGCCACAGCCTAAGACCATCAAGCAGTTGAGAGGCTTTATTGGCTTGACATGGTATTATAGGAGATTCATTAGACACTATGCATCCATAGCTTCTCTATTAACTGACATGTTGAAGAAAGATTCTTTTATTTGGTCAGAGGAGGCTGCTCAAGAATTTGAAGCTTTAAAGGAAGTCATGTCTAGCACTCATGTCCTGTCTTTTCTGGATTTCTCCTTGCCTTTTGTAGTGGAGACTGATGCCTCATCTGTTGGTATAGGAGCTGTCCTCCAACAGCATCATCACCCTATTGCCTTTTTCAGCAAGAAGCTTGGACCTAGAATGCGGGTGGCTTCAACTTATGTTAGAGAGCTGTATGTTCTAACTGAGGCTGTTAAGAAGTGGAGGCACTATCTGTTGGGTTCTAAATTCATCATCCGAACAGATCACAGAAGTCTGAAGGAGCTCCTAACCCAAACTGTACAAACAGTTGAGCAGCAAAAATATGCATGCAAATTGATGGGTTATGATTTTTTCATTGAGTACAAGCCTGGGACAGCCAATGTAGTGGCTGATTCATTGTCCAGATGCTGTGAGAAAGTGCAATCTGGTGTGAACTTGGCCTTGATATCAGAAAATTCATTGTCCAGATGCTGTGAGGAAGTGCAATCTGGTGTGAACTTGGCCTTGCTAACAGAGGCCACTTATTCCTTAGTGGATCATATTCGTGAGGAGAATAAAGTTGATTCTGAGTTGGTCAATATCCGATTGCAGTTACATCAAAATGAGCTACTCGATTCTGATATTTCTGATAAGGATGGTATATTGTATCATAAAAATCGATATTGGTTGGGAGCAAATTCTATTTTGAAGGACAGTATCCTGCAGGAGGCACATTCCTCTTTGATTGGAGGGCATGCTGGAATAGCTCGAACTTTCTTGAGACTTTCTGCCTCCTTCCATTGGAAGGGCATGAGGAAGGATGTTCATGAGTTTGTCAAGCGATGTTCCACTTGTCAAATGATTAAAACTTCTACTTCTCCTCCTTCCGGATTGCTTCAACCACTTCCCATACCAGATGGAGTCTTTGAAGACTTAAGTATGGACTTCATTACAGGGCTGCCAACATCTAAAGGGTTCAATGTGATATTGGTGGTAGTGGACCGTTTGACCAAGTTTGCTCACTTTGGGGCCTTAGCCAATCCTTACACGGCTGCCAAGGTAGCTTTCTTATTTTGTGATATGGTGGTCAAACTACATGGGTTCCCTAGAACAATAGTTTCTGACCGGGATCCAATTTTTTTGAGTCATTTCTGGACACAACTCTTCAAATGTAGTGGTACCCTTTTGAGGACTAGCACAACTTACCATCCCCAGTCCGATGGGCAATCGGAGGTCACCAATCGTTACTTGGAGCAATATTTGAGAGCTTTTTGCCACGAGAAGAATCATAAGTGGGCTTTTTATTTGGGATGGGCAGCATATCATTACAACACAGCTGCACATTCTGCTATTGGGATGACTCCATTCCAAGTTTTGTATGGTAAGGTTCCCACAATAATTCCATCTTATGACAAGGGCTTTGTTCGTGTTGAGGCTATAGATTCCACCTTGAGCCACCAAGATGAGTTATTAAGGCTCCTCAAAGAGACATTACAAAGTGCTCAGAACCGGATGAAAATACAAACTGACAAGCATAGAAATGATGTTTCTTTTTCTGTTGGGGATTTGGTGTTAATCAAATTGCAACCATATCGCCAAATTACTTTAGCCAACCGGAAGTGTCAAAAGCTGGCCAAAAGGTATTTCAGTCCCTTTCCCATTATTAGAATCTTGAGTCCTGTTGCTTATCAAGTGGAGTTGCCTGAGGGCTGACGAATTCACCCTTCTTTTCATGTCTCTGTACTCAAGCTATTTAGAGGTGATAGAGCTACTGTTGCTCTACCTTTGCCAGAGAGTAATCATGGTAATCATCCTGTTCAAGTTCCTATGACTGCTTTGATGTCTAGACAGGGTTCAGATATACATGGGGGTCAAAGGCAATGGTTGATTCAATGGACAAATTATCTCCCTGAGGATGCAACTTGGGAGGATAAGAGTGATATCATCATGTTTTATCCAGGATTTGTTTTGCCAGTTATGAACCTTGAGGACAAGATTCCATTTGAAGATGGGGGCAATGTTAGGAATGAGGAGCCCAAGACAAGGAGAAGAGTTGGTGCCCCTTCGTGGGCCAAGGATTATGTGGTGTAATCGGCCCACTCAGCCCAATTAGTATTACTGTTTTACTGTTATGTGTTTCCTTATATACCAATTAGTGGACTGTTATTGTTATTAGTTGGGCCTTAGTATTAGCTGAGTAGTGTGATAAGTGTTTGTTAGTAGAGGACTTAAGTGTGAGTTGTGGAGCACGTGTTATGCTCTTGCTTTCTGTTAGAGTCTGTTAGGGAACGTGGCATATAGCCTGATACGGTGTAATTGTTGAGGATGATGAATATACAGAATTGTTCTTTTTCTCTTCGTTTCTCTGAATCTTCCATTTCATAGTCTTGTTCCTTCGCTGAGATACCAGAATAGGATCCGCTATCCTATCAATATTGAACTCGTGTCACTTAGTTACGAAAACTCTAATATCATATAAAAAATTATTTTAACACAAAAATTTAAATTGTTAGATAAATATCATCTTAATAAATTTATATTATATTTCTCTAATAATATAATAAACTCCAAAAATAGCAGAGAATGTTTTTTGAATTCAAATTGAAGATTATATAATCTGTTTTGCTGAATAAATTTACAACGTTTGTATATAGGATTAAATAGTAATTTATAACTAAAATTAAATAGTCATTTGTAACTAAGATACAATTCTATTCAAATTCAAATTACCATTTATAACTAGGATATTTAAATAGTCATTTTAGAGGTGGCAAAACATGTTGGCGGATCGATTAAATGGTAGATAAAATCTCAATTTATCGTTACGTTTTTTACTCTCTCTTTTTTACCAATATGCCAAGCGTTTTTATGTTTTCACGATTTTTTCTACGTTACGATTTTATGTTTTAGGGTTTTTTTATCCCCTTTTCATTTTTACGTAAAATCTTGTTTTTAACTCCTTTGGTCGAGTTCGTGTCGTGTCAAGTTTGATTCGTGGGCCAAAATGTCTAACCTGTACACGACCGATTTTTGTTCGCGGTCCTAAAATTAAAACCCAGACACGACCCATTGTGGGTCATGGATCACACGAGTTGACCAGCAAAAATTGTTAATTTGATTTTTTTTTTAAATTAAAATTAAAATTAAGGGGAAAAAGTGAATAAAATATGCGAGTTGACCTGTGATTAGCAATTGGGGTATGTAAAAATCACCAAAATTTCAATTTTTTTATCAAAAATATTTTGCTAGTTGATACGCAGGTTACACAAATCAAACTATGACGCGCCACAATGCCTGTGTCATTTAGAGTGTGCATGACAACCATTTTGTTTCCTAACATTGTTTCTGAAAAGAAACAATTCTTTTCTATTTATGTGCCTTGGAAGTTGGAATAATTTCTAAAAAAAATATGTTTGATAACATGTTCTATTTTTATTCCTGGAATGATAATTGTGTTTAAAAATTTTGGATCATTACTTTTCTTTTCATATGGTTTGGTGGTGGTGGTGGCATGATGATGGTTGTGGCGATGGTGACGGTAGTGGCTGCGACGATGGTAGTGGTGGCGATGGTTGTGGTGATGGCAGTGGATGCGAAGATGGTGGTGGTGGTAATAATGGTGGTGGTAATGATGGTGGTGGTTGGTGACGGTAGTGGTGATGGTGGCAGTGATTGTAGTGGTGGCGATGGTGGTGGTGGCGTGGTGATGGTAATGATGGTTGTAACACTCTGTGTCCATCCGGTTTATTAAACATACATATGGCAGTAGCGCAGCTAAATAAATGCGAAAGCTAACTTTTCCTTTTCAATTATGACGTCATTATTATTAACCAAATTGATTACTTATTCATTTTTCAAAATATTACCTGTATGTAAATTACAATAATAACTAACTGAATAACCTCATAATATAAATAGTATCAAGTCACGAAACTACAACACATAGACCGGACCATATCCTGATACATGAGTACAACTCAAATTAAATCAAACATATTGATGTCAATGTGGCATGGACAACCCTCATGCTCACCAAATAAGGCAACAAAGCCCAACAAAGTCTCAACTCAAATAACAATATACTGAAATAAGGCATGGAAATCTCTAACATATCAGCTCAACAGCATACATATCCACTCAACTCAACTCCGGCCTCATGCCCTAAAGGTATCAACTTCCGAGGTACCTGAATCTGAAAATGTGACCCAACACGAGGTGAGATCTCTAAAAAGAAATCTCAGTAAGACAAGGGATCCTCAAGGATCTCTCCACCCCAAGCTCACTTACATGTGCAATATAAGTTCTAAAACAGTTTAACAATATCATTTCCAAAATCTGTGCAATGCAACATATATCCATGTCATGTATGTAAGAATCCTACTGCCTAGAGAAATAAACATGTAGGAATTACATATGTCTACAACCTACAGTACAAGGAACTCCGCTTGTACCTCACCCACAGATTCACCAACTTGTATGTCTCCACATACTCAGGCTTACCGTCTAGGTGGTACGCCACATACATATCATATGGCACTTGCACTTAACAGCTCAATAGCATTTCAAATATTCATCACATAATTTCACAAAACACATCATGCATATAAACCATCCCTCCATGAGGTATGGTGGAACCAACAATCGGCAAAACCGAGAACACAAAAGCTTACCTCTTAAGCAATCAATCCCAAGTCAAGAGTCCACAACAGCCCAAGGTTCACAAACAGCACAATTACAATCTGTTTAGACCAGAAATATCATCAATATTCATACTCTAAAGGTTCATTTCATTATGACAACATTTCCTTTTTCGTTTAGTGTTCCTTAGGCTTCTCCCAAAGCCGTAAGTCCTTAATCTAGGTGATTCTGACTTAGTTCAATTATTGCAGAGGTTCATATTAACCATTCAAGGGTCTAGAAACTCAATCCAAGCTTCTGTTCGGACAGAACAGTACGCATCTCGAAATTCTCAGAATATTCGGATATTTCACGGGGCCATATTCGGATATCCATATTTGGATATCATATCTGAATATCCATATCCGGATATCACCAACCCCATATCCGGATATCAATATCCGAATATCATATCTGGATATTTCGCGACATAACGCAGTTCTGCATTTTCGCAAAGATATCCAACCAAGGTTCCATTTTTAACATATATACATGTTAAAGCATGCATCTTTAAACCCATTTAGACCAGTGATCATGTTAGCTACTTAATCCTATCATTTTTCATGCCAAAACTTGATCTTTAACAAAGAAACTCATGATCAAAGGTGAGGAACATACCCCAAAGGCTCAAAATAGAACCACAAGTGCTCTTGGAGCTCTCAAACCAGCCCCAAGGTTCTGACTTCAAAGGTCCACGAAAATGGCTATCAAGCAAGGTCTTTTCTCTTCAAAGGTAGCTTCTTGAAGCTCCAAATGCCATGACAATGGCTCCCTCCATGAAACTCAAGAACCCAACCCCTAAACCACCACTAAATAGAGACCATAACTCCGAAATGGGTTGACTCTCACCCTCACAAAGTTGCTCACACCAAGTTATGGTGATTAGATGAATAAACTTGAACAAAAAGGTGATCACTTTGGCTCACAAGAGGAAGGGAGGAAGGTGACAAGCTTGGAGAGAAAATGCAGTAGCCACACTCACGTAGGAAGCTGAGGATCATCCTAGGGTTGTGTGCAAATCACTATATATAGTCTAATTAAGTTATAAGCATCGGTATTAGCACTAATAGCTTAGTTAATTATTTTAATCTCAAACTTTGAATTCTGAACCTAGCCATTTTTCTAGGATTTATCATATTTTTATTATAATTTTCGCAGCACTTTGCCGGTACGCGCTTTTACGTAGCCGGTATCAGTCCTGACGCCATTTCTCATTATTTTGACTCCAAACTTGTTATATCAGTCCTATATATTATTATAGGAATATTCACATACTTATTATAATTTTTCGGGATACTTCATCGATACGCTCTTATACTTATGAAGAAGAACCGGTACCTTACACTATGAAAAAGAACAGGTAACTGCATTTTTCATCAGAAAAGCGACTTTCAACATTATTAAGCCCTTATAATAATTATTCAAGTCTCCTCATATTTATTCTACGTCAATTGTGGAATTATTTCATAAACTCACATTTAATTAATTAAATTCTTAAATTAACTGTGCGGGTTCTTACAGTGGTGGTGGTGGTGATAATGGCAATAGCTAGAGAATAATGGTGGTGGTTGGTGACGGTGGTGGTAACAATAATGGTAGTGGTGACGGTAGCATGGTGGCGATGATCGTGTTGCGATGATAGTGGTAGTGGTGATAATAATAGTGGAGAGTGATTGAGAGAGACAAGTATTTTTCATTTTGTTTCTGAAAAAAAAAAAATTATTCATTTTTTCTTGTTCTCCAAAACAAAAATTAAACTGGTTCATCTGAAAAAGAAACTACTTTTAACAAATAAATTTTCTAGCCATTTTTTATGTTTGGAAATAAAAATTAAAAAAAATGACTAAAAAAAAAATTGTTATGCACGCCCTTATTCAAATTTGCATATGGCCCATTTTATCGTACGGGTGAACACGACTGCGAATCATGACACGCTTTGCGAACCTTATCAAACTTGGACAACTCCAATAATGCATTGAACTACTCAAGCATTTTGTTTTTCTTGTTTACTTCTGTGTTGTAAGTTTGTTGATTGTGTACTCATGTATTAGTTACTAGTTGACTTATCTCGTAAGTCGTTACGGTGTGTTTGGTACAAGAGAAATTTTTTGATATCCGGAAATTATGATTAATGGGAATACAGTAGAAATTGAGTTTACTTGAAATTTTACGAAAGAGGTATTTGGTTCGTCAAAATATTACCAGAAATATTGAGTAAAAGTTACTGATTCCATGTTTGGTTTAGAACGAAATATGACTTGGAATATGAGGTTATTTTACAAAAATAACCCCAAACTATTTTTACTTTTGTAATTGATAGATTGGGTCTAGATTTTTATGTATATTGGGGTATTTTTGTCTCAAAATTTATTGTTGTGCTTTCCCTTTACTTGGTATTTTGATTGGTATTCCGAATTACCATATTATTTTTGGTAATCTGAATAGTGACTTTTCTTTATAAATTAAATTACCGGTAGTCCTTGGATATCCGGGAATTGATTTTTATTCCTTCTACCAAACGTGGTAATTACATTTACCAAAGAAGGATTACCGGTAATCCTCTTCAAATTCTTGAAACAAACATCCCCTTACTGTGAGTAAGCATACTCAGAGTCTGTTTGGATGTTTTTTTATTTTTTAAGTTACTTTTTTAAAAAAAAAAAAAATTTAAAAAAAAAATCTGTTTGAATTTCTGCTTTTAAAAAAGCATAAGTCATAAAAAAAATTAAGAATTTATTTTTTTTAAAGCTAAAAATTTTAGCTTTAAAATAAAATAAAAGTTAAAAATCAATTTCTTTTCAAAAATCAAATTTTTTAAAAAATCTAAATAATTATAACTTTTATAAAAAGTACTTTTAAAATAAGGAAGTCATAAAAAAAAATTATTTAAAAATCAATACAAACGAGCTCTTACTTAGGCTCAAGTTATAGCTTTGAATAAAAGTAAAGCAATGATTTTATTTAACAATTAGTCCCAAAAAAACTGATTTATGAATTAACAAGAAAAAAAACTACTTTATGTACCTAAATAGCTTATGGGTAGCTTTTCCATCCTATAAAGTCGATGCTATGCATAGACGGGATTAAAGCATTGTCCTATAAAATAAAATGTTTATGATGATGGAACATTATTTCTAGATGTCGCGCGTGAATGGGGTCATGTGGGGCAGGTGCTGGGATAAAAATGAAAGGTGGCTACTTTTTGGATAAGTTCAAGGAACAGGATAAGAGATGATGTAAAGCATTTTAAAAGTGAAAGTAAGCATAGCCCATTAGCCCCGTTAATTTCCCTTTTTTCTTTGACATATATAAAAGTAGTCGTAGTGTTAAAGAACTTTGAGATACACCACCTTAAAAGTTAGCTCAAAGGGTGAGAGTGTTCAATGTCTTATAAATGCCACATTAGTTATTCATACAACCAATGTGAGCCTATATATCTCAACATGCCCCCTCACGCAAGAGCCGTTTAAGCTAGAAACGTGGAAATTGCACAGGCTCATTTTTGGTTTACTTTTTCTGTTTTTTTTTTTTATTTAATTCCACTTTAAAGCGGGGGACGGTGAGGCTATGATACCATGTTAAAGAACCTTGGGATACACCACCCCAAAGCTAGCTCAAAGGGTGGGAGTGTCCAATGCCTTATAAATGACACATAAGTTACTTATACCACCAATGTAGGACTATATATCTCAACACGTACCAGTGTACCACCATGACATACTACTATCATTCCATCATATTATTGAGTGATTGATGTCAATGGCGGACTTTAAAAAAAAAAAGTTTATGTCTGTAAACTTAGGGTGAGAGGTTGTCCCCCGAAGATTTTTTTAAAAGAAAATTTTAAATGTATTAAAAAATATATAAACAAGAAAAGAAAAGAATTATAGGGGTTGGTTAGGTTGAGTTCATATTAGTTAAAATCCCGATTTAAATATGTGATTTTATGATTTTACAAAAAAATTTAATCAAAACGATTTCATCAAAATTCCAAACACTTTTACGATTTTATGATTTTTTACGATTTTTTTATGTTAGGATTTTACGTTTTATGGTTTTTTATCCTCCTTCCGATTTTAGGTAAGATCCCAATTTTAACTACCATGGTTGGGCATATGTTTATTTTTTTTTCAATCTTCTTAAATTTTTTTCCTTTTTTTTTACTTGACCTAAATCACTCACTTTTGAAAAACAAAATCTCAAACTTGTGTCTACAAGTGCAGACAATGGCAATTGTGTGTGTCCGCCACTGATTGATGTGATGATAGTATTATAATTATATATTTTTGTGTGTCCGCCACTGATTGATGTGATGATAGTATTATAATTATATATTTTTGTGTGTCCGCCACTGATTGATGTGATGGTAGTATTATAATTATATATTTTAAAAATATATAATTATAATATTAAAATTATTTTTTTCTTTTCAAAAATTTATTAAATGATGTGAAAATAAAAAAAAAATTAATATTATAATTACATACTTTTTAAAATATATAATTACTCAGTGTGACAATAATATTAAAATTTTATTCACATGATACAACACAAGTCTAAGAAAAGACACATATACATAACATGCTAACGTATTTGTACCAAAAAAAAAAAAAAAAACATGTTAACGTATTGATAATTATGGTTAAAAATGTACACTTGACATTAGGGAAGTATTTTTTCTTTTAGTTGCCTGCTCATTTTCTAATACGCAAAACAAATAATTTTTATGTCTAATGAAATAATGTGATACATCAATGGCCCAATCCATTGGGTGGAAGGTGGTATATATGTTGAGTATATTTGTATTTATTGATAAAATAAAGATAGTGAAGATCAAATTCATACCCCTAATCATCAAAATTCTGATATTATGTAAAAAATTTAACTCAAAAAATTAAATTGTTAATTGAATGTCACTTTATTAATATTATATTAAATTTCTCTAATAGTATATTAAAGTTTTATATGAGTTTATTAGGGGGAAATTTTATATTTTTCTCTCTTTATGCCGAGGTTGAATATTTATAATAAAAAAATAAACACAAATTTTTTAAATAATATGATTACCATTTATCTATTTCCTCTGTTATGGCTTTTGTCCCTCTTTACAAATTTTTAGTTAACTGAGCTGTGAGAGTGCAATAATATGATTACTAATTATCGATTTTCTCTTTATGTTTATTCGACTTCTTCCTGAGTGTCATAAAGTGGCGGGTAGCAGAGCAATAATTACTACTATATTTGAGACTTGTTGTCCCGGGTTAGTTAGGTAGGCATGCTTTATGTGCGTTTGGTACGAGACTACGAGCATTCTTTTTAGTTTTTTCAAATAGTGATATTAAAAATTCTATTTACTCATATTTAATATAAGAATTACTAAAAAAAATTCGAAAATCTGATTTTTTAGTATTCTATATTGTGAGTACTTTTTAAGGTAAAATATCATTTAACAATATTTTTAAGGTAAAAAAATTTCTCAGAGGTAAAAAAATATTTTGGTCTACACGTTACTAGAGCCAAGTCTTTAAGTGATATTTTCTTTTTAGGTCAAATATAGAATTAAAAAACTTGAATCAATATTTTTAATAATATTTTAACTTATTAAATAATTTTTTAGTCACATTCCTATAAATTTCACTTTTGCAATAAATTCCTGATAACAATAATTTCTACACATAAAAAAAAATATATATATATTCTCTAACGAACGCCCCTTACATATTGGACCTTTTTCATTAAACTAACGGATATTTGTTGCTTTCGAGCCACTTGTTCCTCTGTTTTCATAATCATTTATTGGGTGATGGATTTTTTTAATAAAAAAAAAAGAAATTTTTTTACGAGTTGTTTTTTAAATGAATTTTTAAAAAAAAATCTGTTGTTTTATACTTGAATCAGTATTTAAAAAAAAACTTTTGAATAAAAAATAGTAATTTATTTTTTTCAGAAATTTTGGCTTTCAAAATAA